TAAAGGGGAAGGGCCATAGCCGAGAAGGTAACCTCATGGGCAAAAGGTTCTTCTTTCAATCTGGTGGGATCGCCAAGAAATAATCCACTTTGAATTCTTACCACCTAATGCAACAATTAATGCTCAACTATACTGTCAGCAATTAGAGCGTTTGAACCAAGCTTTGAGGGAAAAAAGACCTGCTCTAGTGAATTTGGAAAGAGTAAGAAGAATCAGAAGGAGCAAGAATCACGTCACAAAAGATCGAAGAACTTGGTTGGGAGAAAATTCCTCATCCACCTTATTCTCCCGATCTTGCTCCTTCAGACTACCATTTGTTTCGTAGCTTACAGAATCATTTGGAAGAAACAGCTTTTGTAACACAGGAAGAGGTTAAAACTGACATTTGTGAGTTCTTCGAATCAAAGCCAATAGAATTTTACAGTAATGGAATTAGTAAGCTTGTTAATAGATGGAAGGAAGTCATAGATAATCAGGGCAAATACATTGTTGATTGAATCTGTAATTAAATGTAACATTTGGCCACTTGTTTTCTTTATTCAAAATTCGGACAGAACTTATGGGATGACCTGATAATTATTGAAATAACGTACGTGAATGAAATATACAATAATTTGTATTCAATGTATAGATTAAGGGAAAAGAAGTTGCTTCCCTTTTACCGTATTTTGATTTATATTTGATTGTTCGAAAGAAAGTTCTCGTGAGAGAAAAATGTTCAGGAATCAATATTAGAACAAAGGACTGTTTGTTAGAATAGATAACACAAGAATACAATTGATCAGAAAATGTGTTGTGTTAAATTAGCAGTCCTGGTTGATTGAACTTGGCTGAGCCGTAAAATTGCTTACATTCCGCTCGTTGCTCCGCCTAATTTTGTGTGTAATGGAAAACAATTTGAAGGAGGTGTTCCAGATCCATCGCCTTCACTAACAATAGAATGGAGTACAATGCATCAAACCCACGCTTCATTTGGACGTACCCTAACTAGTCCATTTAGCCACAGTAGTCATCGCATCCTCGTGTTCGCCGATACAGGTAGGGATGAGGGAGGGGCGTCAAACTTGTTCAAATGAACCATAGATATTAAAACTACTCAGATCTCCAGATGAGTACCTCGTGCCAACTAATCGAATACGAAACATCACAGACAATCAAATAAAATGACTGTTGTTCATGTATATAAGACTACTCCCTAGAGCCAATTCTTATATATCACATAGAATTGGATTGTTGCCGCGGCAGCCATTGATGAGGAATGTCGGTCTCTGTCGGAATATATAGGGACTAGTTTCCCCAAATCACGTCATGACCTCCCGTCTGTGATCTCTCGGTTTTGGTCTATTCGCGAGGAATTGTACTGCGTCGAAGGAGTACCGATCAAAGAGAATAAAATCCTTATACCTCGACAACTTCGTGCGGAATTACTTGAATCCCTACATTCTGCACGCCAGGATGTAAATGGAATGCTAACAAATGTGAGACAACGCCTATTTTGGCCTGGTTTTGATGCCAGCGCCCGACAGATCAGAGCCCTATGCTAGATATGTAGCTCTATCGCCTTGTTACGGCTTAAGGGGCCCCTGATGCCGCCGTCTAACCCTGAATTCCCATTCCAACAAACCTAGATTGACTTTTTCGACTTACACGATAGAAATTATGTTACATATTCAGATCGTTACACTGGCTGGGTGGAAGTAGCCCTAATGACATCTGGGAAGGCCAGGGCAGTATGCGACACTCTGAAAACTTGGTGAATCCCCCATAGTAATCGACACGGATTATAATTCCTTATCCCCCGCCCCCAACGTACAACATAACCCAAATACCGCAAATAATGAACCAGAAGAAATGGAAATTGACGACACAGCGGATTCAGTGGACCCAAATACAAAATAATATTGCCGCTGTGGTTATTTTACAAAGTGAAGCAGTTTGGAGTTAAGGGAGGAGCAAGCTCTGTAACTACGCCCAAAGAAGTTGGATAATTCTCCAAATTTGGAAAGTTGATTAAGAAAGCAGAAATAGGCAACAAAGAAAATCTTTAATGGAATTAATTAAAAAGCGTTGAAAAATTATCTTTTTGAAATAATTCCAAGGAAAAAACGAACCCAAATTTTACTAGATGGAATTCAGTAAGATTGATCAAACAAAAAGGAAATGAAAGAAAGAAAGAGGAAAGACTCTATTAACGGGATAGTAATTGTTATTCGCAGGAAGATGGACCGAAAAGTTGAGAAGAAAATTAAAAACGAAATGCATTGAAAAATCATGTCCTGAGATAATTCCAAGGAGAATTGAACCTGAATTTAACTAGACGGAATTCAGTAAGATTGAGCAAAACCAAGACTACACGCCCTTCCTCACATCTCGGCGATATAAAAGAAACCATTAAGGTATCCACGAAAATATCAGTTAAAATAAAAACATGTTGACGACAAAGGAACCAGGGTGGTCGCCGAAATAAATAGCATTCACGATTCCTCTGGAGAAAAAGGGCCAAGGAAATCGATCTGTTTTAAATCAGCCACCAAGAAGAAAAATATTCCCACATAGAGTCCGACTGAAGGCATTTGTCATTATAATTTCTGTGACATTCATTCAGGGTAGCTTTTATATACAAACATTAATTCGGATTCATTTGGATACAAGTGGTAAGGAAAAATTATTATTTTGAAATGACCATAGACAAAAAGGCTGTGTGGTCTGTTCAATCGTAAATAAAAAAATGCATAACACAGAGAAAAAATAAACTTTCGTTTTAAGGAGAGCGGAAATAGTTTTTCTTTTTTTTCCAATTCTTGGGTGTTCTGGTCGGTCGAGAGATCCCGGCACGGGACGAACTGATAGATAAGGACTAACGACTGAAAATTCATTTTGTTTTCGATGAGCCATCTGGAAGTTGGATTTGTCACTCCATCTCTGGAAGTGAACCGAGGTTGTCTGCTGAGATAATGGGAAACGGAAGAGAAAATGGGAGAAGGAACAGAGAGAGATTGTCACCGCCTATATGGAGTTGTGGTGTGAGGTGAGGCATAGAGAGAATTGGATTTAAGGGGTGGCTTGATCCCTCTGACCACTCTCAAAATGGGGTTGGACAACTCCAAATTTGGAAACTACTTGAGTAAATGTATTTTTATATATGGAAATTTAGAAAAGGTTGATGCATAAGGTAGAAGACAACCAAACCCAGACTCTAGTCAACTCCGCCCCGGCCGGACGCAGGACTCCATATAAGCTGGAGATTTTGGACACAGACAGAGAGAGACACACGTAGGTTACCCATATTACTGCTACTGGAATCCACATCGTTCGCTGAGACCTCCTAACCAAAACCTTGTGTCGGACCTGAAAACCAGAACTTAGAAATTTAAGTTACTACTAAAATAAGCCGCAGACTCCGAAAAGGATCCCAGTGTCATTTGATTATAACAAGTGGGAAGGATTAAAACTGTTGTATACAACAAATCACATATAAACAAAATTGTTGTTGTTACATTTTTAACCCAAGATAATTCCTTACTAAAAAGAATTCTTGTTTTTTTTTTGTAGCTCCCAAATTGTCGAATCGTCCTCACTCCAGCCTGCTTCATCTGAGATGATCTTCTCATCCTCTGAAATCAAAAACGCAACGTAGCAGAGGAGTGAATGACAAACGCCAGCTAAGTCGAGAGGGACCTTGCCACTATCACGATACCAGCGACAAAACGAGTCACACGCTAACGAGTGAAGAGTCAGCTAAATTGTAACCACGGCGGTCTGAAGGAACTTAAGAACCGACGACTGGGTGACATTATTGGTTACCACTGAGGAAGAACGACTCAGGGGTTACATAATTAGTTACCGTTGGCCAGGGGTTACGACTGAGTGTTAGAGAATATGAGAAAAACTCCTATTAATGAGAAAACAAGAATTAAGAAGGCAGAAGATAACGATTGTCATTGCATTTAAATTTTTGGAGATCGAGATTGACTGAGAAGCAAAAATCTGGAAGAGATTTCCACAAGCGAGAAGTGCGACAAAAGAAACTGCTAGCATAGAACTTATGGCTATATCTAGCCATTTCAACTGTAAAATGATGAGACCTTTTCCGCCAATCAAGTACTGCTCTTAAATTCATGAAGTCTGGGTACCATAGAGTAAAGTTCATCCGAACAATTACCATGATACTGTTTATAGAAAAGGCAGAGGGAAGCTACATTTATCAGTATTAGAAGTGTTTTGCATAAGTTTTTAACTTCATAAAAACAAAACCTGGCACCATAGACTATAAAAAACAATTCTAATAGAACTAAATTTACAAAGTTAAAGCCTAAATTTGAAAATATTATCAGGCAACTGAATTATGACATTATACAAATCCTTTAGAATGTACATATGTATCTAGAGTAGTAATTTTCATGCTAACCTCCATTTGGCTCCCAGTCCATATCTCTAGTACCCACCCAACATATTATGCATGTACGCATCTCATCCTTCAAATTAGTTGTTCTGCATATGCAATACAACTGCTAAAGTAAGTCCATGATTCTACCTATCAAAACGATGGCCTTGCAAATACGAAAATATGATTTTGACCGGTTCCCGCCACTAATTTAGTTGATGTGTGGTACGGATCTTGTCCAGAGCAGATCACTAATTTTTTGTTCTAACTTTTCACTATGACTTTAAGCCACAGGATAAAATAATACAATGCTTCCATAAAAAAAAGTGTTTAATTTTTGTCTTTGTAAAGCATACAAGTGTTTTTAGACTTATATTTTCATCAAAGATTTTGAAAATATTTCACTTTTTGTTCTGCTCCAATTCTGTCAGACCACCTGCTTCCCCTCTTTTAGCTCACTATTTCTTTGGGTGTTTTAGTTGTCCCCAGAGGTGTGACACCCGCCCACTTTTAGAATGACTGGTCTAGAGGAAAAAGGTAATTATACGTATACGGTGGTGCCATATATACATAGTTTACCTTTGAGTTTCGCTCTCTCTCCGAGTCTCTTTCTGAGTCGCTCTCTCTCTCTCTCTCTCTCTCTCTCTCTCTCTCTCTCTCTCTCTCTCTCTCTCTCTCCGAGTCTCTTTCTAAGTCTCTCTCTCTCTCTCCGAGTCTCTTCTGAGTCTCTCTCTCTCTCTCTCTCTCTCCGAGTCTCTTTCTGAGTCTCTCTCTCTCTCTCCGAGTCTCTTTCTGAGTCTCTCTCTCTCTCTCTCCGAGTCTCTTTCTGAGTCTCTCTCTCTCTCTCTCTCTCCGAGTCTCTTTCTGAGTCTCTTTCTCTCTCTCTCTCTCTCTCTCAACAAGTTTGACAGAAAATGCAACTTCATTTAGTTGCATTCTTATATTCAGATATCCAACTTGTAGAGAAACTGTAATCTCGCTGATGACTTCAACTTCTGTAAATGTTTGTTTACCTGTTGAATGGATGAACAGAATTATTTTTTGTCTTTGTATGTGTGTGAAGAGAGAATGAAAAAGGCTTTACAATATTTTAAGATTTTATTTTAAGCTTTTGGTGCAAACAAAGGAAAACTGAAGTGGCTGATTTGAAAAGAAATAAATTAAATCAGATTATAACGATTCCTTTTTTTTTTTTCGTATTCTGTTATATATACAATTATTTAAAAAAATTAAGTTGCTTGTAAATGTTTTATGCTTTATGCATAAATCTTGCAGTAGAACTTAATGAATATTTGAAGTCGGGACATATTGAATACAGATAAATTATCATAAATTCTATAAATCATGAACCACTTCTTAGAATCATTGTATTTTGAAATTGGTGCAGTATGCGAAAATAGTCTGTGTCTGTATCAAGAACAATTTTAGGAAATCTATAACAAAGTAGATAAAGTTTTCATGTGATGCGCCTACACATGTGCCTACACATGCGCACAATGGGGAAGAAGTTTGAATTCAAATCATTTTGTGTTTTGTGTATATAATATAGCCAATTTTACAAAAGGGATTTTTTTACTAAACGATGCACTCAACACGGTTGTTCGTTAAGTAATAGTAGTACTCTATCAACAAAATCTGAAAATAAATTAGTTGTCCTCAACACTAGTGTCTTTGCCACCACCTCCAAGATGATCCGAGATATAGTTAGGAAAAAATAGTCCCAACACCATATCGGATACCGGGACTTATTAAACAAATTGCTTACAATGTAGAAATAGTTACATTTGCAAAACATCTAAGAATTTAATAGCCTACATCTACGAACATAGGTCGATTTCAGTTGCGAAATGACTACTCACAATAAAAATACAACAATTTGACACTTACATTCGGCGATTGCGACCCCATAAGGATGTCAAATACAATCATATCTACCTAACAATACTTACAAATGTAAAATAAAATAAGAATTATCATAAAACTAAATAAGAATAATATTATTCTATGTTTAAAACCATTTTTAATAAGAGTAGGAAAGGCTGACCGTAATGGAATTGGAGAAGTACAATTTATAGGGTTTGACTACCAAAAAAAAGGGGGTGCGTATTATGCGTGAGTAGAAGCATTTTCCCACACTTTCAGCACAAATTTTGGGGTGCGTATCATGGATGGAGGCGTATTATACATGGGAAATTACGGTAAACTTTCTTTGAAAGTGGCTTATGAAAGCTGAAAGCGCTTAGAATATGAACAAAACCTGTACAAACTCGTCTGGTTGTTAAACAATTACAAAAAGTTAATAGAAAATACTCAACAAATAATATTCTTTGTTTTTTAATGGAACTTATAAATAATAGTAATAATAATATATAACTAGTTCTTTATCATAAAATCTTAATTAAAATCTCATATTTCTAGACACAAATTCAAACACGTTACGGAATATAATTGATTTGCACAGTCTAAAAGATAGGAATTCCATTTGAGCAGCCATCTTTGACACTTTATTGTTGCAACGGATTTTTATTTTCGTTTTGAAAATTTACAGAAATGTAGAAGACATTTCACAAACAATTATGTTTAGTATCCCCAGATGACGACAACTGAGCATTTTCTTTCTTCATAAACTACGTTAAGATTAGACTGCTTTATTTTATCTTATTTAAAGAATGGCCGAACATGGGTTTGGGGCAATGAAACACTTTATTATACAAAAAATAAAATAAAAAATTAAGCCGATAATAAAATTGGAAAACTGTTCCGGTTAGAAGTTGGGACATTATGGTAAGCCGAATTATTTCAGAAACCTGGAAAAAAAAAACAAGATTACCAAATCCAAGAAAGACTGTGCTCAAATCCCTGTCAAGTCTGGGTGTAAAGATTCAACAGGTTGTAAAAGGTATGACCTTTCACATGTAGGAAATCCTGCTACCAACAGAACTGCTTAGTCCTAACTTGTAAAATTCCCTGAATCGGAAAAGATTATACAGAGATAAACGAAAGAGACTAGAATATCAGAGTTAGCGTCAAACCAAAAGCCAGTATGTTAATGCCGTAGGGAGACTAGTCACCTTTCTGCTGCCTGCCTGGAAAACTGGCCGTCAAGCGTCGAGACACCTTTCAGTTTACTTCAGCTAGAGTGAAACTGGAATTGCCCCACTTTTCGCTTTTTATTAGAAAATTCGTCCAACCCTCGGGGTGAACCTTATCCCCTATTCCTCCCAGGATATTCTCATCGACAAAAATTGATCGTGCCAGAAGTCTGAAAGAGAGTTACAGCCGGTAGGGAAATGAAACCAGTGCGATTTCAGTTCCTTTTAGCTCCCAGATGTGACCACCCATCCGGGCGTATACGGGGAGAATTAAAAAATGCATGGGTTGTATCAATCCAGAATTAATTAAGAAGGGGAAGCTAGTCATTAAGAAAAAAGGGGAGCACTTAGAAGGAAAGTATTTTCCTTTAACCTGTCCCCGCAAAAAAAAAAAAAAACCATCAGTGTTACTATTATTGATACGCTAAAACGAACACCCAAAGGAGATGTAAACACCATACTACACTAACCACCTTTGTCAATTCCCTGTCTTGCAAACCCCAAATACTTTATCTACCATAGACAAGTAAGGACTCCAATAGGGATGCTGAGTTGATACTAACTGACTCACGTAAAAGCCCAACTAACGTTTACCTATAAAGTCAATTAGGTATTTACCCGTCTCTCCACGGCGACGTTATGTAACACAAGGTCAGGTTTAACGTGGGGCACCCGAGCCAGGCCAAAAATAGCCCAACCGTCAGTAGCTGGCATCGATATTACTACCGATTCCCCCTTTCTAGCGCAATGAGGGCGGTACACCTGAGAGCAGCTATTCCCCGTGACCCGGCACCTCCCTGTATTTTTCCCCAGCTGTGTGTCTGTCCGCGGACAGAGACACAATTCCTTGGCACTCTGTCCGAAGACAGAGACGCAACTGGGAGGTGATGATTACATTTTAACGTGGGCACCCGAGTATTTTCACTCGGGCCGCTGGTCCAAACTGGTCTTAGCTGGTCATAACTTGTCCGAACTGGTCAGAGCTGGTCTAAGCTAGTCATAGCTGGTGTTGGCTTGTCATAGCTGGTCAGAGCCGATCCAAGCTAGTCGTAGCCGTGAGCACACCAGCACAGGAACGGATCCCTGGGCCAGGCAAGCAGATATTTATTTGACGCAACTGAGAGGTGATGTTACATTACCTGTGTCAGGTAAGTAGAGATTTACTTGACTCCCCACTGAGTCAGGTTATGACACAAGGTCAGTTTTTAACGTGGGGACACGAGTGTTTTCAATCGGACCGGTGGTCCAGACTGGTCTTAGCTGGTCATAGCTTATCTGAGCTGGTCAGAGCTGGTCTAAGCTAGTCATAGCTGGTCTTGGATTATCATAGATATGTTGGTCCAAGCCGGTCCAAGCTAGTCGTAGGCCAGGTAAGTATAAAGTCAAGTATAATAAAAAATATATTTGAGTTGACAGATCTTAAAATTCCCCAATTTCACAATCTACCCTACTCTTTTCAAAGGCCACGTCCAACAAATAATATAAAAAGACTGCAGTAATCCCCCCCCCAAAAAAAAACAAAAAACAAAAAAAAACCCCAAAAAACCTTCTGAATTGAGTATTTAGTGAAGGAACAATTCCACAAAAAGAAAATTAAAAATATAACAGAGGGGCAAACTGTGTTGACTCAGACAGGGGCTTAGTCTGATGAAGAAGGACTACTACTCCCTATGGCCTTGGTTTACCTCGCCTAACTGGTGGTTTGAGGTGCGCTCTGGGTAGGAAAGAGATTTTCCAGAGGGACTGGTTGCTTTTCAAGAACGCGTCCATTGCGAATATCCGCTTTTCAACAGCACACACTCTAAATAGCGCCTATCGTAGCGCGATAATTAATGTTCTCATCTCGCTCGAAAGCGATTTCTAATGAGTGTTCCACGAATATTAAACTATGTCAAAATTAGCACACTTTAACAAATGATACTTATATAAATAATTAAAAATTATATTAATGCTACAAAACTTGATTGTTTGCCCTTGACTCAGCACAAGTCAAAAGGTAAGAAATCCGATACGTGACAGTCTGGCGAGAAGCAGGAACATTAAGCCGCCTGGACCGTCGGAGCCTATTTATCAGAACGACTGCATTTCATTTCCAGACCACCATTGTTTTTCTCTCGCCATTTATGCTGTTATATCAGAGACGCAATGTACAGCCACGTGAACTCACAAGTAAGACATTAATTTACTTCTTTTATCCATATCTGCTAATGTATATCAGGCGATCACTGATCAAACTCAGAAAAATGTACTGTTTTAAAAAAGGTAGTCGAAAATCGAATACAGTAGAATTTCTGACAACTGAACCGAAATGAGGAATTGGTTACACAATGCGGATATGAGGGGTTATATTTAGATTAAAATAAAAGAACTAAAATCAGGTTAAACATTTATTTTCAATATTTCATAGTAAACAAAATAAACTAGTGGTGAGTGAAATATAATGGAATTGATTTTAACGAAAAAGAAATTATGTAAAGTTAATGAAAATTCATGAAATTAAGTATGCCACGTATGCAAAACAAATAATAAAATGAGGAATTTTTAATCGCTGTTGCATGATGATTCTTTCTCTTCTAATGTCATTCTCAAAATTTTCCGTATTTCGTTTTGCTTTTGTTCTTGAATTTTTTTAAACGAAAGACACTTTTTTTTTTTTTTAACTCTGCTGCGTTATTGCAATCGTCGTAGCTGAATGATGGCTTTCTTTCCATAAAACTGATAACCTTTTCAATAGCTTTTTCAATTCCAGTTCAGGTTTCATCAAAATCATGCACCTTGTTGCAGATGTGTCTCGTTGTCATCCTTTCCTCTTATTTCCATCATCTTTTGCACCAATACAAGACAAATAGTTCAAATATACTCATCAAAATCATGTCCGGATATGCGGGATTCCGGATATGAGTCACTCCGGATATGAGGGATACCGGATATGTCGGATACCGGATATGAGGGTTTCTTCTTACTGTATATTGTAATAATTTAATGTTTAATAATTAATAAATTAAGGACGTTTAATAATTAATGAAAATACTAAAATCTAGAGTTTTACCTTCCCGTCCCAAGTGACTTATTCCGATTTACGAAGTAATTAACAAGTTGTAATCAGTTCGACATGAAAGGAGGCTATCAACAATGATGGGGAAAATTTGCGGAAGTATATTTTAATTTCTCTTTTTTTTTTTGTTATAATGTCACGTAGATTCAGCAAATAGATAAGCCTGAAAAATAAAGTTTCCATGAAAATATTTGCTTTGTTAGATAACTTTCAGTTTTCCTTTAATTTCAGAAAATCAAGATAGCAGACTGAAAATCATGTCATGTCCAGTTTGTATACCATCCTCAGAATTTAGTCATTTTTTTAGTCTTCTGTGGATCATCATCAACCACATTGATCATTGTAATTTGAGGAAACATGTTTTTAGTCACTGTTAAAAAAAAAAAAAAAAAAAAAAAGAAAAGAAAAAACGTTGAGCGAAGCGACGAAATCTGATCTGTCCTACGTCAAAGTCAATTATCACAAGTCGTCAAGTCTAGATTCCGAGGAGAGACTATATTACGTCTGACCTCCATTCAATCCCCTAGCCGCAAAGATTTACATTCAAAATTTCTCTTACCCCAAAAACCAAATATGCTGGTGTCCCATTTTACTGAAGAATTGTTCTCCTGCACAGCTGTGAAATGAGTCATTAGTCATTACTGTAGAATGATCATGTAAACATCGTTACAAACACTTGATGTAAAAAATGTTATATATATATATGTATGTATGTATATATGTATGTATGTGTGTGTGTTCTGTCTTTCTGGAGAGCGATAGAAAAAGTTTATCTCTTTCTTTCTTTGTGAACGTAGAAATCAAAATTTCATGGTGAATAGCTGTTTTTAAGCCTGAAGCTTGAAACTGCCAGTCACCATGCAGTATTGATGATTTCTATGTCCAGTGTTTTTAATTACAATCGATTTTTAGCACATTTATAGCTAATTCTAAGCAACGCACACACACACACACACACACACACACACACACACACACACACACACACACACACACACACACGATAAAAATATGGTTTTATGCCATGCTATATTTATGGGTTAAAGTGCTCAGTATCAAGGATAGCGCATATGTAAATATAAAACTTTTATATTTACATTGAAGTCAACACCTAGCGGCAACAGCCTGCTTCATGCATAAACGCAATCTTCAAGGCATGTGTGTTGTGTTTTCGCTCGATTGTTTATATATTCCAGATAGTGGTGCATTATGGGTAGGTCTACTGTATTATTCTGTTATTTGGGTGGGCGGTAACTTTTATGTTTGAATTATTTTATAGATTATAGAGCAGAAATAACTTTTTAAAAATTTTACCTTGATAAAGCCCTTCAGGAGATGAAACTCGTTGGCAAAAAAAAGTTTCCCTATTGTTTTTATTCATAAAAAATATATATATATATATATATATATATATATATATATATATATATATATATATATATATATATATATATATATATATATATATATATATATATATATACTGAGTTTAACACCGAGAGACGCCAGTCGGTTTGATGTGAACGCAATTTTTAGACTTGCCACCGTCCGCTGCTGACATCAGTGCGGACTTTTATTTTTAAACATACCCATAAATATAGCATATCTTAAAACAATATTTTTTTATCATTGTATATATATATATATATATATATATATATATATATATATATATGAAGAAATATAGTTTTAAGGTGTGCTATATTTATAGGATAAAATACTCAATATCAGAGATAGAGCGTATGTAAATATAAATATAAAAATGAACAAATATTAGGTTTTAAAATTTTGTCCCTTAGTTTTGGACTCTACTGTATATATATATATATATATATATATATATATATATATATATATATATATATATATATATAAAGATTAATACAAATAAAATTTGTTACTTAGCTGGTTGATGTTATATTCAGCATCTCGTTTCGTAGACGAACCTTTTTTGTAATTGCTCAGTTCACACATCAAGAGGTTTTAACACTTGACTGCTATTTTTGTAACTGTTCCTTGTCTTTATACTAAGTTTGATGTAATTAATTTATGCGCTCAGCTTAAATGCCAAAATATCAAATATATTCGAGGCTTTACAACACCTTCTCGAAATGTGTTAGTGACTCATTCAGTATTTCTTTATTCATAGTTATAAATATGGGGCTGTAAATATGCTTATGAGTACTTTGACTGTCACCCTTTTAACTCGTTGTGTCTCATACAAACACACAATACTTTGCCTTTTGCCATAAAAATATTTCTTCATTTTGCACTTTTTTAGAAAAAAATAATTTACTATTTTTTTGATGGTAGATTGTTGGCTGGGAGAGTTTACTTGCTGCTTTCTTTGATTCTTGTGTATTTACTCTCCTAATTACTCGAAATAAGCAGGAAATTTAGCAAAAAGGCGGAGGTAGAAAAGCAATAAAAAGTAAAAAAATAAGTAGAATTGATTGATTTAGTTGTTTTTACGGATTATCAACCCTTTGAAGATTATTTAAAAGCGGAACATATTCTTAGATTGTATGAATTTTTGGGGAGATAATAATAATTTACTGATACAAGTCATACTAATTAACCCATAGCTGGGAGGGGGGAGAAGCGAGTGGATTCATACATTCCCCAAGGATATTTCCGCGTAAGTCAATATAACGAACCAGACTGGAATTTGAACTCGGCTATACCACTTCCAATTCCGCGCCGTTATCCATTACACCATCACCACCACATCCAAGATTACAGCACCTGGTATTCCCGAGCGCTTTACCCATCTAGGTACTGACCAGGCTCGACGTTGCTTAACTTCGGTGATTATACAATAACCGGTGTTTCAATGTGAAATGGTTGTAAACTTTCTATCTGAATTTCTGGAATGAAGAGTTATCATCATCATCGTCATCATTATCATGATCATCAGTAGTCCTATGATCTTGTAATGTGGCAGTGGGAAGTTTGTTGGCATTTATACCGTGTCTCTGACATTTCAACTTTCTGTCCTTGACGGTGAATATAAGGTCTTCCAACGGGTTTGTCACATATTTTATGATGTATCGCAATGCGTTATTTCTGATGCAAGTTTATGTAGGAGATGGCTAGAATGGTTCGGTAGCATCTCGTAATTCTGTTGTTAATGTCCAAGATTAGCAGGTGTACAGAAATAGTGAAAAAGACAATGTGCGCAACACTGATTTCATGCAGATCTTCTTGTCTTTGCATTATTTCCATCCGGCCTAATGTCCTCATCTATATTGTTGAAGCCTATAGCAACCTGGAAGCTTAGTACGTTCGTCTGAATTTGGTGACATAGTAATTGTGAGTTCAATCTCTGCTCCGGGTAGTGGAAACAGAGCTAGCAATAACTGAGCATTACTAAAAATGAACACTATTATATATCTCCAGACATTGACGGAGGAGTGAGAACACCCTATCCTTGTATATTAGATAAAGGGTTCAGAGTCTGTCTATATTTCTGAGATGAGGTATTATGTACATTATTTACGTTATTCGGACTATTGTCCTCATCTTTGTCGCCATATTTATCACAACGTTTCGGCCGTTGCACGCTCCGGCCTTCTTCAGGTGGTTGGAATGTCGAACTGAACCCTTTATTTCGCTCACCGGGGTAGACTGTTCTAGTTCCACGTGCCATGTTTGATGGATGTCAGTTATCAGTTATCTCCTGTTAATTTCACCCTGAAAGTTCTCCCCTGCCTTAACCGGGTATTGAACTCACACGCTTTGGGTCCTGTCACCGGATCTAACCAACGCCTTTATCCACTGTGCCTAGAACAGTCTAACAAAGTATAAAAAATAAGCAGATATCAATGACGTAACTACAATTTCAAGGCAAAACATTTGTAAATAAAAAAAACTAGATACAATAACTCTCTAAAACTCAGGGATCGATTTGACACTGAATCTATATTATAAACAGGTCCCTCTTTCTAAATCAATAAAAAATCAATATTTTTTGATTGTGACAAATGCTCAGTTAAACAAATTAAGTTAGTTCTTTAAAAACATTAGTATAGAATTAAAAAGAAACGAAATAGTATAGTGTTGCTAAGTCAATGACATATAAAGTGTATATATTTTATAATTAGCTGTGACTAGAGAGTTGCAAACGAGATTAATTAAATTGAAATTGTCGTTGGTCAATAATACCGAAAAACTGTTTTTAATTTAAGTGCATTATTCGGACTATTGATTTTTATCAAGGATTAAATCTTGTGCCATGAAACATTCGTAGATGCTTAAGAAGACAGAAACATTAAACCTTATTACAAACCATATGCGGATCTTTGAAGTCTTTGGCTTCGTTAAGCTTTTCTTTATGCAAATACCAAATACTTTCTTTTGGACTTGCTATCTCAAGAGACATGCAGTTCCCGATAACGTGGAAAAACAAATTCTCTAATGAATTTCTTTATATTTCAATAGATCTTTTGGTTTATGAGTTCTGGCGACATCTTTATTTCTTTGCAACACTTGATACTTTTACTTACTTTTCAACCCAAATCCACAAGTTTCAGTTTTTTCTGTAACTTTTGTGTTTTACTAAGCTGATGTTTAAAGGAACAGATCAGATCCCTTCGAGAAGAAAAAAAGTTTCATTTCAATTCGAAACAAAGAAGAAGAGGCTCTACTGAATGCTGTATAATATCAGTCCTCCTATATAGCAGTGGATGCTGAACAATTTCCTTTCAGATGAAGAGAAGAGATGAAGCAACATTGATGCTACAGAAGATTGCTGAGAATACCATGGACAGAACATGTGAGCAATGTGGAAGTTTTAAGTAGAATGTTAACGAAAAGAACACTTACAATCAGAAAGGGACAGTCGAAACTCTTGGACACATAATGAAGAAAGAGGGCTTGGAGAAATTGAGACTCATAGGACATAATGAAGACAAGAAGAGCAGAGGGAAAGCATCACGTAGCAACTTGTGTAAATGGATGGCAGACCAAAATAGTGGGAGAGATAGTAAAGAGACACACGTTGCTTAGGAACAAAAATGGTAGGAAGTTTCGGAGAACCATGATCGCTCTCGCCTTGAAGTGATACAGCGCATTTAAGTGCTGTTATCTACTGCTGATAAAGCAAAATAATTGGCACGTAAACTTTTTTCCAATTCCACTCACGACTCATCTGGAGAATCTTTGCTTTAGTTTCCGCCTCGAACCGAAACTTTATTATCCGATATCCATATAAGTCAATCTATGCTTTCCGGTTTCATCTCCAAACTAGATCCCCAAAAGACATGCAGAATTGATGGTATCTCTGCAAATCCAGGGACGAATATGCAAAGTGGTTGGCCCTGATCTGGCATCTCGTTTACAGTCGCTCTCTCACAGACGTACAGTCGCCTGCTTCTGTCTTTTCTACAAATACTTTCGCTGTAACTGCTCCGACGAGCTACTTTCGCTAGTTCCCAAACTGCATGAATTTAAACGTGCCACTAGGTCGTCATCTCGGTCGCACCCTTTCACTGTCGAAACGGTTAAATGTAGCCGTCTCTTCTACTCCAATAGCTTCATGTCTCGCACTTCCCGTCTGTGGAACTCCGTTCCTCTTACTTGCTGCCCTGATAGCTATAATCTCTAACTATGTAAATGCAATGTCAATCGACATCTCCAGATGCTTTGATCTATTCCCCGTCATTCTCTTCATCCTTTCCTCTCTCGTGCCTCTTTACTCTTGCTCGCCCTCCCTGTAACCCCTTGCGTGCTAGTGGCACTCTCGCCTTGCTTGGGGTGGATTGTTAAAAAAAAAAATTAGGCTAAAGAAATGTATTCCTAAACTGGCTGTTGTTCTTTTAAAACCCTACAAGAAATGTCTTGCTGCTTTTTGCTTTCCAGCTTGTTGACAATCCTCTTCTCTAGTTCCTGTTTTTAAGAACTTTGGCGAACATTCCGGTCTCTCGAATCATCGTCCTATTAGTCTTCTCTCTCTTTTTGGCAAAGTACTAGATGCTCCAATCAATTCCAAATTGATTAAGCATCTCACTTCGCACGATCTTCTTTTAGACAAACAATATGTCTTTCGCTTCTTTAGGTTACATTTCGATGTATTAACCTTGAAGATGGCCTTCAGTTAGTTGTTATGTGGGGCAAGAAATGGCTTGTAAATTTTAACGGCTTCAAAACGAAACCACTGTCTTTGAATTGACTTAGAGGACCATTTTTGCCTTCTATCAGCATGACTGATGCCAACCTCCAAGAGAGCAACTCATTACGCATTCTCCGTCTCACGTTATCCACTGACATGAAGTGAAACGATTATATTGAATCAATCGCCACGTAAGCTGCTAGGAAAGTTGGTTCACTGTGTCGTGCCTGGCAATGTTTCGCTAGAATGCATCTTACACATTTATAAATTTACCATTCGACTGTGCAATGAATATAACTACCACATGGTGCTGTTGCTATATATCTCGAGATTTTTGATAAAATACAAAAACGGGCCTGTAATGTTATCGATCTTGACCTGGCATCTCAGCTTCAGTCACTTTCCTAACGCCGTATCGTGATTTCTGTCTATCTTTCCTATAAATATTTTCATGACAATTGTTCTGATGAGCTTTCCTCCTTTGTGCTTCGACTGCATGAATTTAAGCGAACTACTTGATTGGCAATTAGGTCTCATCGTTTTAATGTTGAATTAATGTAACCGTAAGTTCTATTCTTTTAGTTTCTTTTCCTGTACTTCTCGTCTGTGGAACTCTCTTCCGATGTCTTGTTTCTCTGTCCCTTCAAAAATTTAAGTGCAACATCAATTGCCATCTTCTGTTTTTCCTAAAATCTTCCCGAACCTTTTACTGTTTTTTCTCCTCGCGAACATCTTTCTAATTTTCTTCCACCCTTCCTTTTTAATGACAATATCGCCTGGTATCGATTTAAAAAATTTAAAAAGTGAAATACAAGCTCTTTATCCGTAACATGTATAATTTCTTTCGTTGTATATTTGAAGTTCTCCGATAATATAATTAAAATCAACGCTCTCTCTTTCGCCGCGGTGAAATACAGATACTCATTGACAACAGAGAAAGTGGCAGAAAGGAGAAGTTTCTTGATTGACCTTTATAAATTAATTTTTTGAGAAGAATGAATTTTAATCATAAATAGATTAATATAATTTAGAGAAGGAACGCACCACACAAAAGAAATTCAAACACCTCAGAAAGCGATTAAATCTAGAAATACAAGAAGCATCAAAGGATGCATTGAATAAAATAAATAAGAAAATACCATCATTTTAGAGAACCTGATCTGGCATCTCGTCTACAGTCACTTTCCCACAGATGTGCCGTGGCTTCCCTCTGTCTTTTCTACAAGTATTTTCATGGCAACTTCTCCAACAAGCTACTTTGGCTGATTCCCAAACTGCATGAATTTAAATGTGCTACTAGGTTGCCATTTCAGTCCCACCCTTTCACTGTTGAAACGACTAAATGTAGCCATCTCTTCTACTCCAACAGCTTCTTATCTCACACTTCCCAACAATGGAACTTCTTTCCTCTTACTTGCTTCCCTGGTAGCTATAATCTTCTAATATTCAAATGTAATGTCAATCAACATCTTGTGATGCCTTGATCTTGATCCCCGTCCTTCTCTTTATTCTCCCCCCCGCTCTTTACTCTTGCTCGCACTCCCTGTAATCCCTTGCGTGCTAGTGACACTCCCGCCTTGCTTGGAATGATATGCTTAAAAAAAAGGATTTCGTTTTCAAATTTATTTATTTCGTCTTTATTTTCCAGACAGTTTGGTTCATGATGTGTAAAATATTTTTTCTTTCTAATCTTGATTCAAATCAACAGTAATATAACTTATAATGCTGACGAAAACC